TTTTATTTGACAGGTATGTGTCTAAATTTGTTTTTTTTTTCTAAATATATTTTTCGACACGTTGGTGTCGAAAATTGTCCAAAAAATCGACCTGTATGTGTCGAAAATTGCCGGCGGGTTTCAAAAAAAAAAACTTCAAAATCGACTTCGAAGCTCAAAAAAGACATCGATACTTACCTTAATGTGTTTCCTTCCATATATACTACCATATTATTGTCTTACAACTCCATTTTATAAGTTTTGTGAGGTTTTAATTTATTTAGTTTTGAGATTTTTTAGAAGGGTTTGTTGTGAGGAAGAAGAAGGAAGAGGTTAAGGAATTTGTGAAGAAGAAGATGGGTTTGAGGAATTTTGTGTGTTTGTATTGAAGAAAGAAAAATGAGATTTTTAATATTTGTATAGTATTTATTTTCATTAAGGGTATTTATATCATTACTTATTTATTATTCAATTTTTATTTTTTTGGTATTGAAGTGAGAAAAACTTGGGATTTGTTATAGTCATTCCCTTTTCACAATGTACTTTTTTTCTTTTTCTTTTTCTTTTATTATTATTATTATTTGTTTAATTGAGATAATTTGTTGAGACATAATAATTAGGTAGCATGCATCACTTACTAAAGAGTAAAATCCAAGAAAATTAAATAAATTGGTTGGGCAATTTTGTTACTACAAGTGTTTGTAAGTATTATAATATTTCATAGAAGCTAAGTTACAACAAGGACAAGCACATGTAATGTCTTAGTATAGATACATTCTTGTCTCTCCCCCTCTTTCATAACTAGGAGCATCCTATGCATATCACATTCACTAATCAATGTATTGTATGCTATATATGGTGCTCTAATTATATATACATTAGTGGAGTATGAATTTATAATGCAACTTCTAAAATTTTGAGTCCAAGTTGTCCGATTGTTTTTAAAATATCCTGATACAAAATATTTTTGAGGGAGTTTTAATCAATTTTCCCATTGATTAAACATCTCCGAGTTGATTAAGATGCTTGATTGATTTATTAAACTTCTCCACCTTGTTTTGCAAAGAACAACGGTCCTAACTCCTAACAATTAATGTAAACGGGACCATATTTATCGTCAAAGTTTGATTATTTAGTGTTGATTATGATTATGAAAGCGTGGGGCACGACCCACGGCTGAGTCCTACCCCCGATTAGGGCAAACCCACTCGGATTATGCATTAATTACATGTATTTTGAGAATTGATTATGTGTTTCTATTGTTCAAATGAAGCTCTTCCTTGAAATAAACACGAATGAGAGAGAGATCGTAGAATGTTCCGGAAGTGTGCGCGTCTAATTAAGTACCACAAAAATAAAACAAATAAATAAAATATGTTACTTATCTAGATAAAAAGTAAAAATCCACATATACATGCATAGAGTTAAAATTTGAACAAACCAACTTCCTTAGTAGATAAAGTCGTACAATCGCAATAAAATTGATCGAGCATAAAATGAATCGGTGCTGCTACTGCTACTACTCGTTCTATTTCTTCTTCTTCATTCTTCTTGGTGGATAATATAAACATGCCACGCGTGTCGGAGTTTAGAGGGAAGAAGGGGGTGGCGACGAGAAGTTCCCTCCCGTATATATACACTAAAGATACAACTTTTATACATGCAACTTCGTACGTGCATATACATACAAGTTTGAGACCGATGGATGTTAATTTCAATTTAGGTTTCCAGGTGGTAAGGTAAAGGTAGTTGTACTCGAGAGGATGATGAATGCACAAACAACCGAGAGTGAAAAGACGGAAACCCAAGTGTTTTCCGTGTACATCTCCATTGCATCGGTGAACGAGAAACGGGTTCTACTTTCAGCCCAGTTACGTAGTCTATCTGCCTCAGCAGCATACAACGCTCTTCCCTGAAAATGTTATCGATTAGATTGCATTAGTTCATTTGAAAAGAATAAATTAATTTAGATAGAGATATATAACAATTAGGGAAAAATACATGTTTCGTCCTTCAAGTTTGTATCAATTTCACATTTGTTCCCCATGTTCACAAAAAAACACATTTGGTCCCTAATGTTTTAGAAATTCAACATTTTTAGTAATTTCCGTCAATATTTCGTTAGTACTGATGGAATCAAGTGTGTGCCCATCACTGTCGAAAAACAGTAAATTGACTAAAAGGACCGAAAGTGTTAAATTACTGAAACATGAGGGACCAAATGTGTTTGTTTGTCAACATGTAGGACCAAATATGAAATCAGTGCAAACTTGAGGGACGGAAACTATAATTTTCCATAATAATTAAATACGTACCTGATCATCGAACCAGCGAGCCCGTCTGACCCAAGCAGTGACTAGAGCAAGTAAAATTCTCGGTGGAGTTAAATAGTTAATCGACTTCCCACTTCCCTTCACAACCCTCATTCTCGGGACCAATGTTCTAGCAACTGTCTCCGGGAGCTCACATATGATATTGAACATCTGCTTGTTTTTAACACTCGCACCGCTGCATGCCGCCATGTCAGCAATAAATAAATAAATCGGAATATTATTTAATTAATAGAAAAAGGCATTATTGGATACCTCAACAGCAACTCCGTGAGGACCATGCCTGGTGACGCTGTGTGGACTCCGACTTTTGATCTTTTCGACTCCTTAAGTAGCGACGAGTGAAGCTGCCTAAGACCGCATTTCGTAGACCCGTAGCTATATATATATATATATATATATATATATATATATATATATATATATATATATATATATATATACATAAATAA